GGGGGGGGGGGGGGGGGGGGGGGGGGGGGGGGGGGGGGGGGGGGGCGGAGTTTGGCGTTTCGTGTGTCGGAATCAGATGTACACATCTCTCTCTTCTGTCTCGATTCGCTCCGTAACCAAAGTGTACCAACGCCCGAAAGGGGTGGGGTGCCTGTTTGTAAGGATTTTTTTTTTTTTTCATACGTGAAGTTCAAGGACCACGATGAACGGGGGGGGGCGAAGGCAGTCAGGGAGGGGAGTGGCACGTTGATGATGGACAGTCACCAACCTTCTATGGCGCATCGCTCCTAAAGGCACAAGACACATCGCCTAGAGCTGGCGTGACCCCCGATAGTGCCTTGAACAAAGAGCCAAAGGAGGACGGGACTCGAGGGATTCCAGTCCTAAACCTTGCACACTCCAATACCCCCACGAAACGTCGGCAGCAATCAACTCAACAACAAATAAAACATGGTATCGCTACAGTTGTTCGGGCTTTGAAAACGACCCGTCACATTTTTTCACCTCTTATTGCAGATGGTTCTCTGGCATATTACTCACTTCATGTACCCGAGAAGGATGGTCTTGTCGATGCGGCCGGGGCGGATCAGAGCGCGGTCGAGCACGTCCACCAAGTTTGTCGTGAGGACGACGATTCTCCCGGGGGTGTCCACCACCCCGTCCAGAACATTCAGGAGACCCTGTAGCGTCGTGGAGGGAATCGCGGCGATTTTCAGTCTCGGGTTTGTTCACATTTGTTTTCCCCGGTCGTCGCGCGATTTGTTGCGTGCGTTGCGAATCTAATGAGGCGGCCGCTAGATGGAAGTCGTTGCACAACTTGTGGTTTCGTCGCTTTCATGAACGCGCCCGCATTGTAACGGGGTGAAGAGACCGCCGCTATTGCCTTCGGTCACCTTCTTTTTCAACACACGGGGGTGAATGTTTGGCACATCGTCTGCGTTCACATTGTTGATGTAGGAGATCCTCTTTTTTCTTCGCTTTGTTGACGGGGGACGCTCAGCAACAACGCGCAGAGCACGGCTCTATATCCCTGAGAGCGCGTACATATATTGCGAGATTATTTCCTGGAGGTCGGCGGCGCAGAATACAATTGACCACGCCCACGGACTCCCGCCGCAACCAGCCTAAACCGACTCACCGACAGGTCGAGCTTGTCGTACTTGTTGGCGTACTTCACCCTGATGGTCTTGCTCTCCCTCCTGTTGTTGATGTTGTTGTTGTTGTTAGGGCCCACAGCCTGCTTCGTGTCCCTCTCCTCGTCACTGCTATCGTCGTCATCACTGCTGTCCTCGTCATCCGTTGTGCTATCATCATCATCGTCGTCTCCGCTGTCGACTTCCTCCTCCTCCTCCTCCTCCTCCTCGTGTTTTTTCTTCTCATCTCCCTTGGCGCTCTCTTTCTCCTCCCCCTCCTCCTCCTGCTGCTGTTGATTCTTCTTCTTCTTCTCCCCGCCCCAACTCCGGACGTCAGCCGCGTTGGTGCTACCCTCGCCCCCTCCCCCCCCGGCCTCAGCCGCGGCCTCCCCCTCCTTAACCTCCCCCTCGGCCACCGCCGCCACCACCACCATGTCCTCCCCGCTCGTGGAAGGGGACGACAGCAGCGACGACGGCGCCGTCTTGGCGTTGTCGGACGTCGAGGGGCTCTGGGTGAGGGGCGGCGACATCAAGGGAAGGCTGCTCGGGGGCGGCGCCGTGTTCGGGACATCCACCGCCTGAAGGTTGTGTGTTCGTTTTTCGCGGGGTCGGCGGGTGGTGCTTTTTTCGTCAGGGAGAGCGAGAGAGGAAAGCGAAATAGGCATGTACAACAAGTCTTGGTGAACAAAATTCATTCAGAGCTTTAGGGACCGGGGGGTGCACGGAAGGTACCACTGTGTGCGATGAATGGCTACAGAGGTGAACCACGTCGAGCAATACCAGTGCGGGTGTTACGGGATGCATGTGGGTGCGTCCATTTTGGCGCAAACTTGGACGAGGTACGGAAGGTAGCTGCAAGGAGGTAGCGGGCGCGTGACATAATCCGGTCAAAGTGTGCGAAGACGGTGGGAAAATGAAGGAAAATAGGCACCGCCAGCACAGAGAGAAACGCAAGGCGACAAACAACGGGCTGCGGAGAGCGTACACGAACAGCCAAGCAGCAAGGAAGGAGCGAGAAACACTGAAAATGGCGATTTCAACCACTTTCAACCATTCTACCTACCAGTAGGCACAACCTTGTGCTACGAGCATCGCTATTTTGATCCCGTCCACCTATTTTTGTAGATTGTGCTGACCTTTGACTCCGCGGTGCCGGCGTTGATGCTGCTTCCCTTGCTCTCGGCCTTGTCCGCGGTCTTCCCCTTTCCCTTCCCCTTGCTCTTCCCCTTGCCCCTGTCCCGCTTGGTCTGGCCCGCCTTGCTGACGCTAGATTTGGCACCACTGGTCCTGCCGCTGCTGCCGCGGCCGCCGGTTTTGCTGCGGCCATTCTTGCTGCCGCCGGCGCCGGCGCTAACACCCTTAAGAGGACGAACGGAACGCTTGCTCCTAATGCTGATGCCACTGGTCGTGTCGTTGGTGTCCCTGGCTTTGACGATCTTGGAGGCTGCGTCTACGTCCTCGAACACGAAGATCACGTTGTCGTGCGTGAGCGAAATCGGCAGTTCTTGCTTCGCGACGGGGAAGGACTCGTCGAGCATGATGTTCATTAGGTCCTGTGGTCGGGTAGTCGGGTAGTCGGGTAGTCCACGCGCGCAGACACCAAGAACAAAGGGCACCGGGAAGCGAGGCAACGGTGACGATTACGGCGAAAAGCGAGGTGGTTCGGTTGCCCTTCTAACAAAGTTAGCACGCACGGCAGTGATGGGCTAAGACCCAAGAATGACGTATCGCGTATACCTCCTGAGGAATGCCTCCAGTCCCCCCCCCGCGTCTCCCGACCCCCATGCCCTCAAGCCCTCCCGCGGGCGCACCTCCCTCCGCCTAAAGCCTTTATAACGTCGGCAACAGTCGATCGGCTTCACGAACAAAAAGCACGAAAAAAAAACAAAGTGCATCACGACGACATGAAAAAAACTCCCAGTCGATAGATCGACACCTTGACGAAGTGCCCACGCACTCCCCGTCATAAACTCCATCCTTGCACCCTACTTACCCATATCTCTAAGCCCACCCCTCTTCCCTCCCCGCCCCCTCGACCGCCCACGACACCACACCCCACATCACCCCACCTGATTGGTGTTGACCCGCCCAAGGGGAACCTGGATGATGTGCCTCCCCGTCCGGCACGCGAGCGCCTTGATGAGGCTCGTCTTGCCGGTGCCGGGGGGGCCGTGGAGGAGAAGACCGAGCTTGTGCGGGTAGCCCCTGATGGCGTACCTGCCCCTCTTGGCCTCGAAGTTCTCCAGCACCCTGAGCAGTTGTTCCTTCTCCGGGAAGAAGAGGGAGTCGAAGTCCTTCACGTCGCCCAGCCGGTAGCGCTTGTACCTGATTTCGTCGTTTTCACACACGCCGAAAAAAGGGACACGCGATTGAGTGCGTGTGGTGATTCGAGATTTGTTTTGGGTTTTGGTGCTGTAGTACCTGCTGCTGTTGTTGCCCGTGGCGACGACGATGGGCGCATGAGGGGGGTTGGGTTCATGATGTCGAGGGACGGAAGATTTTATAGCAGAGGCATGCTCTATCCTCCCAACCTCGCAAGCTGGCAAACACCCTTACAAGTCTGTGGCCTGTTACGGTCTCTCGTCGCTACGGTAGTCCGTCCCGCTTCGAAGGGAGTTGGGGGTATGCGGTCAGCGGTCAACTGGCGCAAGGGGCCCCAACCAACGACCTACCTCGTCTGGTTCGCACTTGTGGATCGTCTTCCTCTCTTCTCTACTCTTCTCTCTCTCCTCTCTCCTCCCTCTCTTCTCTCACACACACACGAACTCGTTAACGCCAGACAGCACACCGCACCACACTGCTGCACACCCGCGTACCTGAGGGGGGATGGGTCGAGAGGGTTCCTCCCGCGTCCGTCGCCGTTCATTCCGGGAAATTCGACGCCACCAATGCCGAGCCTCGACCTGGCCGGCTCGGGTTGGGCGATCAGGCTGTACCTGAGCACGTGGAAATTTTAATTTTTGTTCGCAAGGGGAGATGAGGAAGAAGAACAATTGAAGTGTTCAACTGGTTCCAATTGACGGGTTCAATGTGGTTGGCAGGTATATGGATCGTCCAGTGTGCTTCTGATGCAGAATATCCGTATACGTGTCAATAATTAACGGAAAAACAAAGCTGCGTGCACACACCCTTCATCTCTCTCGGCGTCCGCAAGCAGATGGATAGGCCGAGCGGCTCGTGCGGTTCAAAGGCTTGGCAGATGACCAAAAACCAAGCCATTAACACGCCGCGTTCACACCTATTCAACATTATGTACCATGCACGCGTTACACACAAAGAAAAACATGAATATCTACTACAGTAGACTATGCATGGACCATGGACCGGGACGCCACGGCAACAGTGGCACCAGACATCGCGCCTGCAGTCCCTCTCTACACCATATGCGGCTATCCATGGGAATGCGTATGCCCCCCACGCTACTGGAACGCTGCTCCGTCGTGAAAGGGGTGCGGGGCAAATGATCACAGGACGAAAGCAAGCATAAACGCACTCCCCCCCGCCCCCTCTCGAGAGTTCGGACTCACATGTATCGGGAGTGGTCTTCGGTAGACTTCATCTCGTCCGTGTACCACTCGTAGGCCTTCTGGATGAAGTCCTTGACTTTGATGTTGCCCCCCTGCCTATCGCACCGGAAGTCGTACACGATGGTCGTGACCGTGTCCCGATCGGGGGCGGAGCCGTCTCTGCCGCCCCCTCCGGAGTGCACGGCCTTTGCCTGGGCCGGGCGAGGAAGAGAGCAAGGGGGCACAGGAGGGAGGGGGGAAGAAGCGGGTGTGCGTATCCGTTGGGGAGATGGTCTCACTCTCTGTTCTCTCTCTGCTTCGGAACGTCGGGTTCCCTACATATGGGAACGGTAGCGCTTGGTGCTGGCTTGGAGGAAGAAAAAACAGGAGAAATCAGTGAGTACGAAGGGAGCATGTCAAGGTGGAGTGCCTGCGACAGAGATTGCGGAACATGGAGGGGGCAGGTAACCTGGGGCGGTCAGGGCGGGGGGGGGGAGCAGTTGGGCTTGCAAGATGCACGCTGTGTCTAGCACAACACGGCGCGAAAAGAATGACAACGCAACGCAGCAAGCATGCGCGCAGGTCAACAACGCTGACTTCAAAGTCAATGGTACTCACCAGACCACAGACCTGTTCGGTAACAAGCACTCACGTGCGAAAACAACGCAGCACGAAGTCGTCCAACTGCTCGCACATTCTGCACCCGCAAGAGATTAGCGATAAAACTTGTGCATGTACGACGTGCTACGTACAACGCACCTGCTTGAACCACACGTCATTCTCCTCGTCCACTAGCACCCAGACATCCTCGGGGGGAGCGATGCTGATGCTGAAGCACCTGAGCTGCTCGGCTGTTCCACCAAAAACCTGAAGGAGATGAGGACGACGACGACGACAACAACGCCGAAAATACAGCGGTAAGTACATTGAAAACCAGCCGCCGTCTTGCGGAGTACTAGGACAGCGACCGCAATGCGCATTGCATCGGGGGGGGACACGTCGTGAAAACGCATGCGGAGGCTTGGTTGTTAAATGTGGCTTACCCAGGTATATCGCGTACCACCCTGTAGATGGCTCTTTTGAGAGCACAGGAGCATGGTGCTTGCTGCAAGGGGAGTTCTAGTATCCGCGTTTGAAAAGAGCACGCCGCGGGGCCGACAACGGAAGGGCGTGCCCATGCCCGGCGGGCCGCGATCGGCCAACACCCTAAGAGAGAAACCAAAGTGAAAAACAAAACGACGAAAAAGAACACCGGCAAACCCTACAACACAACGAACACCACCCAGGGCACTCTTGGTGCGTCCGTCTTGATTCCTTCATGACACACTGCTGCCGTCAAACATGCTCCGACAGAGAGAGAGACGAATCTGCATACATACATACCCTCGGTTGCTTCGCTCGCCCGTAGCGGTCGATGCCACCGTGTCCCCTCGCAGACGGCTTTTGCTTGATCGCGGTCAACAGCGCTTGAGACCTCCTGTACTCAAGATCCAGCTGGGCAGAGGGAGAGCGAGACGGAGGCGGGGTGGCACACAGACAGAGAGCAAGCGTAACGAGGGGGAAGAAGGTAAACAACTAATAAAAACCTACACGCATCTCACGCCATTTGGTGTACTCCTATAAAGTATGTGACTACGTCGATAGACCCCTCAACACGTCGGGCCTCTCGCAGAAGGTTGTCTTATCTTCCCTCCGATAACATAAAAACAAGCACCACGCGGACAGAGAATCCTCGCCAACAACCGATCCAACACCTCTCACCCCCATTCACCCAACACACGCATCCTAGGTCACGTCCCTCCTAAATTAACTCGCGGCTTCCGTAGATCGAAATCAATTACAACAATGACGACGACGACAGCGCAACGAGGTTCAGAAAATAGCAACGCAGGCCCACGTGTCCGACGTAGAGCAGGATCGCCTTCTGCAGGATGTTGTTCCTCTTCCCTTCCTCGGAGTCCTCGCTGCCTGCTTCCTCTGGCGCGTACATCACGTTCTTGCTCTGAACCCAGGTTCGAATCGTTGTAGTAATGGAGGGGGGCAAACACAACACGGGGTGCGATGCGAGGGTTTGCACAAGCCTGACGAGGGAACGAAGCATGGGACACGGACCCTTTTCCACAAATCTATCCACAACAGCACCGCAGAAAAGCACCGCAACAACATGCGTGGCAAGAGCCGACAAGGCAATCGAAAGCAGGGCCTACTACTACTGTGTACTACCTATCTATGTACACTCACCTCTTTCTGGAACCTGACGGTAGTCTCGTAGGTGTTGTTCACGTTGTAGAACAAGTTCAGGCTGCAGGTGCGCAGCCACTCCTGGAGGGAGCATCGCTTGGTCCTGAGCAGGGGGACGCTCGCGAGCAAGAACGCGTCGAGGGCAAGGTGCCCCGAGATGGGCTTGTAGGTGCCGGCGGGCAGGAAGAAGCGCATGGCGATCGGGATGACGGCGGCGACGACGGTGTCGATCCAGGGGTTACCCGAGGACAGCCGCCCCAGAATGCTCTCCTGTGGTAAATGTAGTCGAGGTCAAATTGTGAAGAGAGGTCGTTAGTTACGAAGAACAGCGAACACACACGCATGCATGCATGCATGAGAAGGTTCTTCTTTAGACACAAACGTCTACAGCCTGTTCGTGCCCTGTTTCGCTAAACAGCGCACACTGCTGTTGTCGTATTTAAACGATTAAATAGGCAATTCCATCCAGCAATGGATGCGCAGCTACTACGCAGAAACTAATGGCCTCGCCAAGGGTTCAAGGGCAGGTGCACTCAAACCTGTGGCTTCCGGGGGTAAAAATGTGACGGATTCGAGGTCTTCTCTTTCGCGTTTTGGGTATTTTTCCGAGACTGTCTGTTGCCTCGCAATTCTGTACGCGGCAGATGAAAGAACGTGTTGAGAAGCACGATGACCACTAGACTACTAGTCAGCGCTGACTAGTAGTCTAGTGGTCATCGTGCTTCTCAACAAAAGTCAATGACCGTGTCCGATGTAGCTTTGCAGCCACGAACACGTCCCCCCAGGGTTGCCATCCCTGTGATCAGCGCTGTCTTGCCCGGAAATTGCATCGGTACAAGAGGTACATCGGCTTGCTTTGCGAAGTCTCATAGACTTTTCCTCCTCATACATCGGGCGCAAATAAATTTATGCTCAAGTGGAGATTCGAACCCCGGACACTGGCTTTTTTCGTGGCTGCAAAGCTACATCGGACACGGGCATTGACTTTTGATGAGAAGCACGATGACCACTAGACTACTAGTCAGCGCTGACTAGTAGTCTAGTGGTCATTGTGCTTCTCAACAGAACGTCAAAGTATCCCTTACAAAACAAACACCGCCTGGTCGCACGATAGTGTGGTGTATCCACGCCGAGAGAGTGGAATGACACGGCCGATATTTCAACGCGAACCTTGCGGGTTAGGGTGTGGGTGTCTGAGTGCTTTCCGCGCACATACTTTATTCGTACGCCATGAGCAACACCTGACCTTGTCCCTCGTGCCGCATGAAAGGAAGATGGAATACAGCGCTGGCCCACTCACAAGAAACAGCAATTTCAGCAAGGTCCAACACCTTATTTGGTCGCCAAAGTCCGTGGAGCTCAGGCGTTTGCGGAGAAGAGGTAGGATTCGGTGTGTAGCACCGGCCGCAGAGTCAACCATTATTGACCGAATTTGTTCTTCGTAAAACATCTGAGAGGCTGGATTTCTGACGCAACCCTCGCCCTCTATTAAAACTCCACGTGTTTCGAGAGGACAGGCGCTTTGTACCCGCACACCCTCACCCAACCTCGGTTCAGTTCGTGACTAGGCTAGAGCTTCCCTCAAGTTTTGTACGCAAGACACCTTTTCCCGCTCTTCTCCAGGGGTGGGGAGCGTTCCCGGTTTCTGTACAACAATTGTAGATACCTCTTTTTTGCTTCTGGAAGACAGGCCCGTCTTACCGCGCCCCGCGGGCAATGCACAAATAGTGGGGCGGCCACACGTAGGGAGACGGAGAACTCTGTGACGTGTACAGCCAGTACAGGAATACTGTAGTCCCGAATACTCCGTAGTTATGTGTTGCCCACGTTTTTTTTTTTTTTTTACATGAGCGGAGAGGTTACACACGAACGTGCGTTTTAGGCCTGTCCTCCATCGGCCGTTTTATTTTCGATTTAAATACACAAACTTTATTTCTATACTGATTTCAAGTAATTCCACCTTCTTATTCTCCGTCATACAAGCAAAACGGCCGATGGAGGACAGGCCTAAAACGTGCGTATCCATTTCTAGACAGACTCTGCGTTGTACTGCTGTGAAACTTTGAACTTTGAGGACAAATCAGCTTCCGAAAAAAGGAATAAAACAACGAGTGACGCCCGTCTCGCTCCCTTCCTCGCTGTCCAGCGTGTGCTACACCAAGATCTAAGAAAAGCGTGGCGCAGGTCAGTGGCGAACTGTAGGATAAGCCTCCGATATCCAGCCAACTTGATCTAGCTACAAAATACGACCATGAGACCTGGTTGTGATCGTTTACTTGCTCCCATTTGTGGCATAAACAAGTCATTTCACCAGTCAGTCGCCTCTCTCTGCTATCGTCAGCAGTTTATCACTGGGTACTCTCTCTCTTTGTACACACGTCCCCCTTGTCGCCCATTATTATCTTCTCTGTTCTAATCGCAGAAACTTGACACCTAGCAAGAGGGCAGCAGCGCCCTTTCGTTTTTCGTGTAAATCTTTGCAAGCAAACGGGCATGTGTGTAAAACGATGATCTGGTGTTTTGCCCGAAAAGCAGGACACAGCAGCAGCGGGCACCAGTGTGCGTCAATATTCGTGCGGGTGCCTTTTCGGACAGAATAGCTGTTCATTACAGGGAAAAAGCAAGGGCATGTTCTGCCCCTTAGTGGCAGCAGGGGCAGGAGGCAGGCTGTGACACGTCTTCGTGGGGTCGGCCTCTAATTCGTTACTTGGAACTTTGAACTGACTTCAATCATGTAACAACGTTGGTTGCGGTGGGCGTGAACAGCCGAGAAAATAAACAAGGCAGGCGCCACGAATCTCGCAGCTGAGTAATCCCCAGCCGCTGCTCACATGCATGCCACCCCCGCCGCCATTTTTTAAAAGGAAGTCCATCTTCATCATGAAGTCCATGGTGTGCGCAGGGAATGCAAGAAGCGTGCCACTCGCCGGCGTGCTGTTTGTGTGTCCCTAGTGAATTGAAAGAACACGCAGACCGTTACAGGGGACACGCAGACGATTTTCCCCTTCTCGCGACCGTTTCCTGGACCGTTGCGCACAAGAGTCAAGATTTATTACGGAATACGCATCATATGCACACGATACGCATGTGCTGCTGTACACATATCATGTGCACCGGTGATTAGAGATACATGCACCGCAATCAAGTGTGTACAGTGGCAGAGCTCTCGTGTGCTTCTGTGTCAGGGAATATGGGTGCTCGTTTGCCCCTCCCAAGCAGGCGCAGCACCCTTCCAGTAGCGAGGCCAAGCAAGCTTGTTCTTCCAACGGTCTAATTCATACACAATGCTTGCGAGACGGCAGTCTTTCGTAACGGAAGATAGGTCCCTTGGACCATCGCTGTCAAATCTCTCCGAAAGAACCGTGCCACTCTCCCTTCTTCCCCTCGCTCCTCGACAAGCTTTTGCTTAGACATGGGTTGTAGTGAAGGGGGGGGTCTTTCTGGCGAGCAGGGCTAGACTCACCCTCAAGGGATGACCGAAACCTTCTTGCTGCTGCGCATATCCGCCGCGAGGCATGCGCGTGGTG